GCTCCATAGGGTTTTCAAGCTTGTGACCTTTAGGACGCAGATCATCAGGTCCTTCTTCCAAGGCACCTCTGGGTGGATTCAAACCTCCAATCTTTAGGTTAGTAGTCAAGGGCTTAACTGTCTGTGCCACCCAGGGACCAAATCTACCTAACACCCAAATAATTCTCCTTGATTATATTCCAATGCCAGGTACAGTAATGATGATTATGAAGCACCGGTGGTTCAGTGGTAGAATTCTCATCTTCCATCAGGGAGACCCGGGTTTGATTCCTGACCAATGAACCTAACGTGTAGCCACCACCCATCTGTCAGTGGAGACTCATACATTGCTATGATACTTAACAGGTTTCAGCAGTTTCCAGACTAAGACAGACTAGGAAGAAAGGCCTGGCTATTTACTTTCCAAAAATGAGCCAATGAAAACCCTATGGGTCACAACAGTCCGATCTGCAACCAATCATGGGGATAAACCAGGATCAACTAGACAGCAGTTAACAACAAAAACGATGATGATTAAGTTGTAATACCTAGCATTTCTATATTGCTTACCATGCATCAGGCAGAGTTCCTCAGTCTATTAACCCTTTAATCTTTATAACAACCCTCTAAGATAGATGCATTTATTACTAATTACCTTCATTTTACAGGCGAGGAAACTGAGGCACAGGTTAACCTTCCCAAGGTCACACACAGCTGGGAAGTGGCAAGATTGAGATCTGAGCCCTTTTTATCTCAAAGAGGCTATATGGTAATGGAGCTTTTTTCAGGGGTGAACCTGGATGGAAGGGCAGAACCAATGTTAGGAGCACACAGAGCAAAAAGACCTGATTCCTGCCTCTGGCCAGCAGACGCCAAGGTAACTCTAGAGCAATGTTCTTAAGAGTGCCGCCTGGACCATCAGCTTCTGAATCACTTGAGTGCCTGCTAACTTCAAGGGTGGAGCCCCAGAATATGCAAACCTCGGGGAACTCCTCAGGGAATTCTCACCTGCCTAAAATTTAGAGAACCAATGCTCCAGCACTATTGCTGCTGAGGCCACACACAAGAAGAGCATGAGACACAACTACCAATAACGGGGTTTTTTATTGCAGGTATAGGTGAGAGACTCTGTTTTTTTTTTTTTTTTTTTACTTTGCAATGATTCTCAGATTTATTCAGATGACAGAACACCTGGAAGTCATGTTGTTCTTGAAATGCTAACAGATTTAATTCCATTGAACAACTAGGAGTAATTATACTATAGGAAAACATGGTTATATTAGTATAAAATTTATAAAACTATAATGATGTTTTCTTATCGTAATGCCTCCACACCAAGAGGAAAAAAAGGGTTTTTTCCCTCTGAGCTTCTTCATCAATATCTATCTGCTATGTGTCCATTTATTTTGTCCTCTGCTGGCAATCACTATCCATGGCAAGTAGAAACCAAAAGTCTGAAAATTCCAACCAATAAATTTTTAAATTTCTCTAAAAGAAGTCAGCCACCTCCATGGCAGGGTTTCTCCAAAACTTAGTCCAATTGGTAAAGGGTAAGACAGTACATAATACTGGGGAAGCCAGCACAATTTGTACAAGGCAAGGTCATTTAAGTGCCAAAGACACATCCAAACTCCCTAAGGAACCAAACTACTGGGCTGAGGGCTGTGGGGACCACGGTTTCGGGGAACATCTGGCCCAACTGGCATTAACATAGCTTATAAAGAAAATGTTCTATATTCTACTTTGGTGAATAGCATTAGGGGTCTTAAAAGCTTGTGAGCAGCCATCTAAGATACTCCACTGGTTTCACCCCACCTGGCGCAAGGGAGAATGAAGAAAACTAAAGACACAAGGGAAATATTAGTCCAAAGGACGAATGGATCACCACTACCACAGCTTCTACCAGACTGAGTACAACTAGATGGCGCCTGGCTACCACCACCGACTGCTCTGACAGGGATCACAACAGAGGGTCCCAGACAGAGCTGAAGAAAAATGTAGAACAAAATCCTAACTCACAAAAAGAGACCAGATTTACTGGCCTGACAGAGACTGCAGAAACCCTAAGACTGTGGCCGCCAGACAACCTTTTAGCTCAGTAATGAAGTCACTCCTGAGGTTCACCCTTCAGCCAAAGATTAGACAGGCCAATAAAACAAAACAAGACTAAAGGGGCACATCGGCCCAGGGACAAGGACTAGAAGGCAGGAGGGGACAGGAAAGCTGGTAACAGGGAACCCAAAGTCAAGAAGGGAGAGTGCTGACATGTCTTGGGGTTGGTAACCAGTATCACAAAACAATATGTGCATTACTTGTTTAATGAGAAGCTAATCTGTTCTGTAAACCTCCATCTAAAGTACGTAATTATTTAAAAAAAAAAAAAAAAAAGAATAAATTAACCTTTCAACTCAGAAAAACAAACAAACTTAGTCCAAGAAGCAGTGCTTTAAAGTGGGATTTACTGCCCCTCTGCATAGATCCTCTACAGCAAGAGTTCTTAACTTTGGCGGGGGGGCGGGGAGTCCATGAACTTGGATTGGAAAATTATATTTTCACCAATCTCTAGCTGAACTTAAGCGCGTTTCTTTTCATTACAAATGGAGGCAGTCACTCACAGCAGCATTAGCATTATCCATGACTTTTTCACTAATAGAAATCACTGATTTTTTTATATCACATTATATTTGTTAAATGTATTATGAAAAGCTGTTTACCCGCATGACCGTTTCAAAATTACAATAACAATTACACTAGATGATATAATTTAATGAGTTAATTTAAAAATACATACTACTTTATCACCACTTTTCAAAAAGGTTTTTGATAACCATGGTTCAATATAATTGGCTTCCTTTGTAATCCTATATATTTATGCATTTGAAAACACAATTCTGAGAAGGGGTCTATAGACTTTAGATCATCAAAGGTGTCCATGGTGCGCGCGCCCACACACGCACACACACCCAAAAGTTAAGAACCCTGAACTACAGATAGGTGGAGACACAAAAATAAATTGCCTACATCACACAAGTGAGTTAAAATATAAAACCAAAAAACCAAACCAGTTACCATCGAGTCAACTCCAATTCATGGAGACTCCATGTTGCCAGACTCCAACCACCAACGGTTAGCAGCTGAGCGCATTAATTGTTTGCACCACTCAGGGACTCAAATATAGTCAACTGCTTAGTCTGTTACTACTGGGATTATTAGTTTGCATTTTACTACTAAAGCCACATTGCCTGTGTGCCTGACACAAAGAAGGAGCTCCATACAGTTCCTGAATGGAAGGACGAACGTTGGGACAGAGTTCCTGTAACTGAGGTTTAACACCAATTATTCCACAGATTCGCTGGTAGCCTGTGACTCAGTCTTCCCTCTTTGAAATGGGACTATTTGCAAGAAAAAAAAGATCAATTGTGTGAAAAGAGTCATGCCCTTTGGAAAACACATTTTACTTTTTTTTTTTTTTTAACATGTACCTTTAAACAATAGTTACTGGGTCGCTGTGAGTTGGAATCAACTTGATGGCAACAGTTTTTTTTTTTTTTTTTTTGGTGGTCTTAATTTTACTAATATGGTTTCCACGTCAGGGCTTTAAATTCTATTTCCAGCTCTGCCATCCATTATACTCCATAAGGAATTAAAAATAATCAGAAAAAAGGAAATAAAGTTATGTCTTGTTCCTGACTCTCTGCTTTCTGTAGCCAATGGGTGGACTTCAAGATCAGTTTGAACTCCTTGGGGTTTGTAAATTGTGTATGTGCAATATCTGGGCAATGAAAGTTCATTGTTTTCAACATTTTCTCAAAGAGGACTCCAAAGTAGTTAAGACTTACTCTAGAGAAACAGATGTGCTCCTCAAAAACTACACACAAAAGAAATACAAACATTTCAAATGCTTTTTACAAAACCTTCACATGTAAAAAAAGAACCCCTTTCCTACAAAAAACTGTGGGTCAGAAATAATAAAATCACCCTTTGCAATGCCCCACAATAAGTAAATGGACCAAACAGAATCTGACCCTAGACCACCACATAATTTTAGTCTTCTGGTGTTCATGGTTTAAGCAGGAGTTCCGGCTCTAAATATTACCAGCCAAGGCTTTCACTTGCTCTGATCACTATCAATCACAACTTTCACTCTAATACAATAAAAGGAAGAGCTTAAAGGATAAAGGAAAGAAAAATCCTTACTCAACAACTTCGGAAAATGAATGTATGCTCCACTGCCAGCGTAAAAGCTTCTCCTACTACCAGTGCTTCTATGAAGGACCCTTAAATTGATGGATGCCCAGAAAGACTTACTACTCAAGGTTACATATCTGTATTAGCAGGAAAGTAGCCAATAAAAGATGAGCAAAGTGTCATCCTTCTTTATTCAGGAAACAATGATGGGATCATGGCCATTGGCCAAGACTTCCAAAAAGAGATCGCTTTGGAAGGAATGGCTGTCAGGGAGCAAAAGAGATGGCACTCGTGGCAAAAGGGCGGGGGACCATGAATAGTATCTGGGGTTGGGACTGGGGGACGAGGAAGTCTGGGCACTAAACAGCTCTAATGGAAATCTACTGTGGCCAGAAGTGAACGGCTACCAACGCAAGCGCCTGCATTTTCCCTCAAGCCACAACTTCCTCCCACTCCCACCCCCCCAAACTGAAGCAATGCGGCAGAAGGGGAGGGGGTTGAGAAGATAAATCGCGTAGCTTTGGGGTGTAAGCTCGGGTTTCAGGTCTGTTTCGGCCACGAAATAGCTACCTAGCGCAGCAAGTCACAACACTGTGCTTCAGTTTCCCTTAGGGTAAAACAGGGGTGTAACTACACTCCCGACTACACAGGAATGCGGCCAGGATTAAATGAGACAAGTGCAAAATCCTCAGCACTGGGCCAGACGCACAGGAACCGCTCCAGGACGCCAAGACAAGTCCGCAGGAGGGTTCTGCGGTCTAGGCTCCGGCCTGGAAAGGGCGCTCCCGGGGCCCGCTCCCCGCCAGCTGGGCTCCGAGCCCCGCCCGGCCCACCTTGTTGTTGTACTCCTCCACGAAGCTGCCCAGCGCCAGGCGAAAGCGCTTGTCGGGCCGCACGCTCCAGTTCATGGCGTAGACGGTCCAGGGCGCTTCATACTTGTAGATCTCCTTCCGTTTGCCGTGCAGGGACATGGTGGCGGCGGAGGGGCCGCAGTGCGGGCCGGGTCCGCAGCCGGAGGCAGCGGGCGGGACCCGAGTTGAGCTGTGTGCCGGACCTGGGACCGAGGAGTCTGAAGGGAGGCGGGGCAGGCAGGGACGGCCTAGCACGGAAGCGCGGCAGCGGCGACAGACAACGGCGGCCGAGCCCAACCCTCAGTTTCAAACCAGCTTCAGCACCGACAAAAACTACCTTCCGTTTGGGACACCGCCCCGCCCCCTTGGAACGGAAGCCACGCGACCACCGCAGCGTCGCCGGCCGTTGGCTGCCTGACACGTCCTTTCGAACAGTTCCTCGCGTCATTGGTTATTGTGCCCGGAGTTTTTGAAACTTCCTCACTATTGGCATAAATATTTGTCACTCCAACTTCTCGCCCCGCCTAATCCCCGGGGGCGGAGCTTTCTCAGGCCCAAAGGTCATTGGCTGATAAAGATGTCAGTCAGAGAGATAACGTTGCCCTGCTGGTGCATGGGGGCGTGGGTAACGTAGAGCTCAGCATGCCGAGCAGCAGGCCTTCAAGTTCTAGGCCAAGTCTCTGAGAATGAAACCTCCTGCGTGACCTGCTCTGACCTCCCCTCTGCTGCTTCTATTCTGAGCGGCCTCTCCATGATGTCGAGTAAAATTAAAACTTTGCATAATGGGGGACCCTGCGGCCTGGCAGCCTAGCCCGAGCCTAACGGGAGCCACCCTCCCTTCCCACTCGTCCCAACGCCCCCTTTGAACCTGGGCAGCTGTTCTCCCAGTGTCCCACGGGCAGGCCTCTGGCACGCCTTTTGCGAAGCGACCCGTGGCTCAGTTCAGAACCAGACAGCTTCAGTGAGGCCTTCCCGCGCTTTCCTGCAGATTCCAGAAAAGCTCCGAATTCTTGGGTTGGTCTTCAGTTCGCAGCGACGTGACCAGCTTGGCTCTAAGTTTCTGTCTGTGCCCATCCCTCCCCGCAGCGCATCCCAAAGCATATGTCAGTCAAGCCCTAAATTTATCTGTGCCGTGAGTTTGAAATGGAGAAAATGCGGGACCCGAATCTGGGTAACAACTTTTTATACTTTATATGGTTTCCAATTCTTTGCTTTCAACAAAATTGAAGGATTGTATTGAATTGTTAGATGATATCATTAAATATAATTTTTAATGATCGATGTGATTTTTAACATACAACTTGGAAAGAAGTAAAAGAATTAAGTGACGTTTTAATAAATCCCTTCCAGTCCCATCTACTTATTTATGTAAGCAAGTTTTCTCTGTGCTTAAGTTAAAAAACAAACAAAACTGTTGCTGAACTTTGTCTTCTCCTAATAAAAAATAATGATATTCATCCACAGATAAATGAACTAATTGGGGAAAAAATCCCCATGCAATCTCTTTAAGAGATGCATTTCCAATAACATTTTAATTTTTATAAAAATATGAATATATATTTATGTTGTTTTAAACAACTCTGTACTCCTAATAAAACCTTAGTAAGGTTACAAAATTTAATTTTAACGTTTCAATTTACATACATATTCGTGTTGCATACGTGATAGGATGCTAAAAGATAGACTTTGAAGCATGAAAATAAATTACATATTGGATAAACAGGGGAGGCTAGAATGGAATTATGAGTTTGAAAGAGAAAAAGGAACAATGTTAAAGAAGAGTTGTTTGTGTGTCTTTAAAATGGATGATGGTGGCTCTCAAATCACTATGCTATTTGGTTTGAAATGGATCAATATAAATGAGGGACAAAACTGTTTTATAAAGTGTCAATATTTACAATCCAATGGAAATTACATCCTTTGCAACAATTTAAACTTATCAATGAAACAATTTAGATGTCAACTTAAAAAGATGCCAAATTTCCTTTAGACAGTATTTGTGCAAAATGACTGAAGACCAGTGACCAGGAGCTTTTCGGACAAAAGCCCATTGCAGTGGAGTGGTTAACCGCACAGGCTGTCAAGCCAGACTATCTGGGTTGAAATCGTTTTGTTAGGTGCCATCAAGTCGATTTTTGACTCATAATGACCCCACGTGACAGAGTAGAACTGCCCCATAGGGTTTTCTAGGCTGTAATCTGTACAGGGTTGGAACCCTGGTGGTGCAGTGGTTAAAGCGCTTGGCTTCTAACTGAAAGGTCAGTGGTTCGAACTCACCAGCCACTCCTCAGGAAAAAGATGTGGCAGTCTTCTTCAGTAAAGATCACAGCCTTGGAAACCCTATGGGGCAGTTCTACTGTGTCCTACAGGGTCGCTATGAGTCAGAATCAACTGGACAGCAACAGGTTTTTTTTTTTTTTTTTTTTTTCGGTTAATCCTTATAGAAGCAGATCACCAAGTCTTTCTCCTGTGGAGTAGCTGGGTGAGTTTGAACTGCCAACTTTTCAGTTAGCAGCTGAGCACTTAAATGTTGTGCCACCTGGGCTCCGTGGGTTGAAATTACATCCTCCTTTTCCTAGTGTGTTGGGCAAGATTCTTTTTATTTTTTTTTAATGAAGTATAATTTACACGTAGAAGTGTACATATTTTTACAACATGAACACACTCATGTAACCAGCACCCAGATCAGGAAACAGAACCACAGCACCCAGAAGTCCCCCTCATGCTCAGGTAAGTTCCTTAGTTACTCTCTGCTTCTGATTCCACATCTCTTATCTCTAAAATGGGGCTCATTATGTTGACCCCATATGGTGGTTGGAGGATTAGATGAATGAATATCTTTAGAGCAGTTAGTGTGGTGCCCACCACAGGGTGAGTACCATGGGAGTGTTGGCTGTTGTCATAATTCCAGATGGCCACCACGCCAGCGCCTCTCTGCTTCCCTTGACCGTAGCCTGGCTAAGAGCCCCATGCTCTGAGGTCTCCTGGGCTCCGCGGAGCCACCTTCAGGTCCCCAGCACAGTGGATTTGGAGGATGAACCCCCAGCTCTTTGTGAGAAGGGCTTGGGGAAGACCATAGCTGTTGGAGTCACAGCACAGTCAAGAACCTGATGACCCTCAGGTAGGTTTACACACCTGGCTCAACATGAATTGTACTGAGTTTATTAACTGCGTGACACTCCACTGCCCAGAAGGGGCCCAGAGTTCATCACAGAACCGTCAGGGGTGGAGCAGCTGAGGGCTGGAGCTCTGTGAACTGGCATGTCCACCACAGAGGACACCTTCACCTCCAGCTGGGTCAGAGGCTCTCGGCAGGAGGCCTGATCAAACCTGGGCCGGTGGGTGCTGGGCCATGAGCAGGGGCTGATTCTGAGCCAGGAGGTAATCCTGCCCAGCCCAGAGCAAGGCTCTCACACAGATCAGAAACTTCTCTTTACCTCACTGACCCCTCAATCCTGTAAGCTACCTGCACATCAGAGCCACTGCCTCCCCCCCTCCACTCCACCCCCACAACCTCCACCAGGCTTGCTGTCTAAACTGAGCCCTGGAGGAGGCTGGGAAAAGTCCTGACTCTCTTCACCATGCTGTCTTGGCTCACCTGAGTTAGCAGTATGAAGCTACCCTAGGGGAATGATTTTCAGAGGTCCATTTCGGAGGCTGTCTGCCTCCCCCAGGATCCTCAACTCTCACCGCCCACCTTCCGTCCCCTCGTGGTGTCTTTTATCTTGGGATTGGGTGGGTCTAACTCCCTGTAAATCCAGGATCTGAGCCATATCTCTGGAACCCTGGCTGCTTGGGGACAGAGCCAAGGTGTTCAGGGAGGGAGGGGAAGCGGGGACCACAGACAAGTCCCTGTATCCCTGTGGGACACAGAGGCAAGGCCAAGGGTGACAGAAGCCCCTGGGGCTGCTCCTGTTCCAAGGATGGTGTCAGAGGTTTGTCCATTGCCATGACCAGGTGATGCATCCTGGAGGAGGAGTTCCTGCGCTTTGGCCTACATTGGTCCAAGTCACCATAGCTTGGGTTCTGGGAGGGGCAGGAGAGAGGCATTCAGTGTGAGGAGCCCCCCAGGCCAGGCTATGGGTCAGTCCACCCCGACTTTAGGGGTGGGCACTGGCTGGAGCTGTGCCTGCTCCTTCACAGCACAGGGTCCTGTTACCTTTGCCCCAGCTGTGGGATCTGTGGTCACTTTCTGGACTTTGCCACTGCCCCATCCAGGCTGCTCTGTCATGATTCAAGCCATAAAGGGGGACAACAGGAGCCACAGCTGCTTTCGGGACACAGAGGCCCTGGGCCTGAAGCCACACTGGAACCAGTTCAGGGTGGGGGAAGGCACGCAGCTACCTCCAGGAAAGCCCCTGGGGGTCCCCTCCCCTGCTCACCTGTACAGGAGGCAGACAGCCCTGGGGCAACCTGGGCCCTGGGCTTTGAGTCGCTGAGGCTACAGGAAACAAGGCCAGGTCCTTGGAGGCAGGGGCTCCCAGGATGTAGCTGGTGTGGCCCTGTGGCAGGGGCTGCTGCAGGAGCTGCAGGATGTGGCTGAGGTCTGCGGCCATGCGAGACTCCAGCCTGCCAGACAGAGCCCCGTAGTCAGGTTTAGGGTCAGGGTGGGTGAGAGCAGTTCGGGGCCTGAGGGCAGCTCTCAATTTGGAGGCCTGCATGCTGTTTCTGCTGGGTAGTATGGCAGCCTGGGGCCTACCTGAAGCCGTTTCCCACTGGGATCTGCAGCCTTTGCCCAAACTCCCCTTAGCGTGTCCCTGACTCAGGTAACAACAGTGACCAGTCCCCACACATTGTTCAGTCCTCATAGTGACAGTCTGACATGGCTATTCTGATTATCCCCATTTCACAAAAGAGCAAACAGAGGCTCCAAGCGGTTAAGTAACTTGCCCACACTCTAGCTGGTGTGCTGCAGGGCCAGAATTTGAACTCAGGACCATCCTGCTCCAAAGCCCGCCACCATAGGCCACACCCCTTTCCAAGGGCCCATGGAATTTATGTCTCTGCACATGGTTGCACCCCTACCCCACAAGAAGGCTTGCTTGGCACAGTCTAGGTTTTTCAAGGGGAAGGCATCCAAAGAATTGTGCTTAGTAACATAGGGATGGAGAGACCTGCCGCTAAATGGGGCCCGCCGTGCTAAAAACCACCAAGTACCCGCTGATGTCCCTGAGCCACCAGGAGGGGGGACCCGTGCCCAGCTCGCTGCTGGCCCACCCTCTGCAGCCGCCCCAGCCCAGGCCCTCAAGGCACTCACCTGTTCATCTGGGCCTGGAGCTGCTCGAGCCTGGAGCCTAGCTCCCCAAGCCAACTGTCTGGGCCTCCCTGAGGGTTTGGGGGGCTGTGCCTTGGGGGCATTTGCTGCAGCAACTCAGGCCAGAGGCCAGATGTGTCTGAGGTGCTCAGGGACCGGGCTGCAACTGCAGAAGGGACAGGGAGTCTGAGTTCCTGTCCAGCTGGCCCACAGGACTGTTTCTTCTGGAGCAGAGCCTGGGCTCCTGCCCCTCCCCACCATGGACGCACGAGGAGGGAACGGGATCTCCTTACCTGGGTACCTTGGAGGGAGAAGTCCTGCTCCCACAGAGGTCTGGCTTCCAGGTCCCAGGGGGCTGTGGCCCTGGGAGGGGGGCTGGGGCCCCTGTCTGTTCGGGCTGGCTAGGTGGGGGCTCACAGCCCTGGCCCCGCTACCAAGGAGGCGGCAACCCAGTGGGTCCCCTGGTGCCTTGGTGTGGAGCCCCAGGGGACTGGCCGGTCTCCACCCCTGGGGACAGCGCTTGGCACCCAGCCAGCCCTCGCTCTCTGGCTCTGAAGACACAAGCCATCAGCGCTGGGAGCCGGAGCCAAGGAAGGAGCCCTTCTCCATTCATGGAGGGGCTGGGGAGGCAGGGGAAAGGACATAAGGAGGAACAGGAGGCTGGGCAGACACAGGCAGGGGTTGGGGCAGGGACTGGCTTTGCTCACCTGACTGGTTGTCATTGAGGAGGGAGCCTTGGTGGTCTTGGCTACCCAGACCCTGCTGGGGTGATGACTGGAGACCCCCATCTGCCTTGTAGGGAACAAGAGCATCAAGGGACAGGGATCAAAGCTGGAAGGAGGCCTCTTTGTTCTCTCTCCACCTCCCCATGGGACCCTGTGACAACTAGGTAAGAAAGAGTGCCAGGTGGCTGGGTACTGCAGCAATGCCCTGGGTAGCTTCCTGCAGACACTGTCCTGTGTAGGTGGCAGCCAGGTTGCCAGAGGCTTGGTGATGATGACCTTGTGCTGAGTAGCCATGTGCAGACCCCACTGAGATCTTGGGAGAGGCTGCCTTGAGCAGTGAGATTTGGGGGCATAAGGCAGAAAAGCTGTTCTTCCAGCCCCCTCCTTCCCTGAATGCCTATGTACCCCTTCCTCTGCATGGGCCAGTGGGGGGTTTCCTTGGAGGGGGCTAGGCCTGAAACCCCAATCCACTCAGGAGCTGCCCTCCGCAGCACCCTTGGCAGCCCACCCTCCTGGCACCATGAAACTTGAGGGGCACCTGGGGCTGCCGAGTCGTCGGCCACCAAGATCATGTCCCTCCTAACCAGTGTCCAGCCACTGAACCACTTAATGGCTCCTAGAAACTGGGTCCTTACTAGGTGTCTCCTGTGCAGGTGAGGTGGGAAGGGGTGACACTGGGGGTGGGGAAGACAAGCAGAGGGCAGGGTGGGAGGGCTGTTCACAGCAGGAAAACCCACCTCAGCCTCACCCTCCAGAAGCTGGGCATGGGCCTGGGCTGGCACAGCCACTCCTCCTGAGGCTGGAGGCTGGGGATGGCAGGGGATGGGGACAGGGATGGCTGGGAGAGGAGGTACTGAGGTGCTCAGTGCTGGGATCTCAGCCAATGTCCCCCTGCCTGGTGGATCCTCCCCACTGGCTGACTCCAGCCCTCCCTGTTCATGAAGCCCCTACTGACAACTGAAGCCCCCAGTGCACTCCCATCATCTGTACTGGCTGTCCCACTCCATAGCAACTCTGAATGGCATAGAAATTTGTCTCTCCTGCCTACCCTTGTGACTTATATGGTTATTAACTCGTATGGCTGTTTATTTTTCCTGAGTTGTCATAACCTCTTCCGCTGATAAACGTAAGAGGAAAGACAGTTTTATCATCGCTTCTTTCCAGCCCCTGTGCCTGGCACCATGAGCCTCTGGAGGGCAGACACCCTCCTTTCCAGCTCAGTACAACGTGCTGGCAAGAGCCTGGGCTTTGGAATCGAACAAACTTGAGTTCGAATTTTGGCTTTGCCATTTACTGGCTGTGTAACTTCAGGCAATTTACTTACGCTCTCTGACCCTCGGTTTCCTTATCTGCAAAATGGGGATAATAGCACGCGTTTGCAAGGTGAGGAGTACCTGAGATAATGTAAAACAAGTCCTTAGCCCGGTGCTTAGCACGTAGTTGGTACTCAGTAATTGGGAGCTATCATCGTACTTATTTAGCATGGTGTTGGCCATAGTAGGCACAGAAAAGACAACGGCAAAGGGTGCAGGATGGGGTTAGCGGGAAGGGCGGTGGTCAGGTGGGCCCCATAGGCCCAGCAGGCCTGGCTCTCAGCAGCCCATTGAACTTCCCTTGCAGTGCCAGCCAGCCGCAAGTCACCACCCGCCCTGGCCCGCAGGCCCAGACTCACGTCCCGCAGGTTGAAGGTGACCTCCAGCTTACTCCAGAAGCTGTCCGCAAAGGCAGGGTACATGTCCAGCACCTCCAGAAGGTCTGCCCGCTGGATCTTGTGCAGGTCGCAGTAGGTCAGTGCCCGCACATCCGCGCTGGACTTACCCGGGTGCGCATGAAGGCTAACAGGCTCCCCGAAGATGTCGTTCTTCCCTGCCAGCCAGAGAGGGCGAGGGTCCCTCCAGGATCTGGCGCCAAATTCCCTCCTGAAGACCCTCCCTGAGGGTCCGTTCGCCTCAGGGATCCTGCCAGGCTGGAGCCTGGTGCTCAGGATCCAACTCTGGGGATGGGGATTGGTGTGCTGGCTGGGGAAGGGAAGGATGTGGCCTTCCCGTCCTCTGAGCTCCGCAGAGATGGGTTCAGAGACTCTCTGCCCCTAGCATGTGAGTCCTCCTGCTGTTTCCAGGCCCCTCAGGACCACCCTTTACCAGAATCTCTTCTCCTTTGTCCATGCTCTTTAGCACTGCTTATACCCCTGCCCAGGGGACAGTGGGCGGGAAGGGACACCACAGGCTCCCTGCTTAACACCTTCCCCCCATCTCTGCAGAATTGTAGGGCAGAGTGTAGGCAGCCCTGGGCCAGGAGCGCCCACCTCCCCTGGGGCAGGGCCAGAAGCTTCTGTTTCTTGTGCCCCACTCCTCATTGTGGGGCTAGGTAAGGAGCATGGCCCTGGCGGGGAGAGCCCGGCAAGTCACTCCTCTCTCTGGAGCCCAGTGTCTTCATCTCTAATGGCATCTGCCTTGTCACCTCTACCTCGCCTACCCCACTGGGCTCCTCAGAGCAGCAGACGAAGTGATGCTCTGAAAGCGTCTTGAGCGGCAAGCGACACCAGACTAGGACAATGGGAGGCATTGGGAGGGTGGATGTCACGGGGTACATGGGTGGATACTCAGAGTATTGGGCCCTACTGGTGCCAGGCACTGTGCTGATCACAGAGTGTAAACATGGATAAGGTGCTGTCCCAGCCACAAGGAGCCCCCAAAACCCCATGAGACAGGCACATAAGCAACCAACAGTAATATCGATAGAGCCTCAGAGCAGGGGAGAACCAAGAACTGTGGGCCATGGAGGAGGGAGGGGCTCATTCTGCCAGGGGTGGCTGGGCAGGGAGGGTTGGGGGATGTTTCACAGAGAAAGGGAAATGGGGGCTGTGCCTAGAGAACTGAGGAGGATTGGGAGCCCAAGGGAGTCCCTGAGTAGTGCAAACAGTTAATGCTCAGCTGCTAATCGAAAGGCTAGAGGTTCTTCATGAACAACTGTCTCCTTTGTCATGAGACTAGAAGAGTTAGATGGTGCCCAGCTACCATTTCTGAACATTTTGATCAGAGATTCTATAGCAGAATCCTGATCAAAAGAGGGAAAATGCAGAATAGAATTTCAAATTCTCATGGGCTCTAGACTTTCTGGAGCTACTACCATGGAGGCTGGATGAACCCATGAAACTATTGCCCTGAGATAATCTTTAAACTGTAAACCAAAAATATCCCCTGAAGTCTTCTTAAAAACCAAATAGCTTAAGCAGTAAAAAATATCTGCCTTGAGCATTTTGCTGTCTTAAGATCTGTCTATAAGGGATCAAAGTGACAACAGCAACTCAAAAGATTAGATAGGAACCTTAGGGGGCAATGAGTTTATGTTAATGGGGAGGAACAACTCAGAAAAAGAGGGTGAGAATGGTTGCACAACTCGAAGAATGTAATCGGTGTTACTGAATTGTACATGTAGAAATGCTTGAATTGGTGCATGTTTTGCTGTGTATATTCTCAACAACAACAAAATAAAAGGTTGGAGGTTTGAGTCCACCCAGAGGCACCTCAGAAGAAAGGCCTGGAGATCTACTTCTGAAAAATCTAGCCATTGAAAACCTATGGAGCACAGTTCTACTCTAATACACATGAGGGCACCATGAGTTGGACTCAACCTAACAGCAGTGGGTCTTTTTTTTTGGGGGGGAGCCCAGGAGAAAGGTATTCTGGACAGAAGAAACAATGTGTGGTCAGTGCTGTACCGTTAGGGCAAGGGGTGGAGAGCCCAGGGCCAGGGGTGCCATGGACCATGATTAATTTGACCTCCTTTCCCCACAGGAAAGTGCAGCCCCTCAGCCTGGTGACAGTGCCCAAGGGGCACAAATAGTTTGCACAGGCAGAAGGATGGGGGTGGAGGCCAGGGCATGTCCCCCAAGAGAACAGGACAAAAGATCAGAGGCCATCAGACCTGGATGTGTCCTCAGCATCATCTAGCCCAACCTCCTCATTCAAAGAATTGGGGACTGAGGCCCAGAAAGGGAAGGAACTTGCCAGGGTCACAGATGAAACCCAGAAGCTTGAAATCTGGGCAACATTATAAAGTAACAGGTTTCCAGTAGATGAAAGATTATGATCTAATGTCCATTTCCACTGAGGACAAAATGAGAAGGTTTCATGTCTGTAACTGAAACTTAAATTGGACCAGCTCCTTAATTATTAATAATAACTATTATCCCTGCCACGTGGATGGCACTTCTAAGGTAGGCTGGGAGGCAGGGAAGTTCTCGTAGAGGAGCCCATGCTTGAGCCCAGCCTTGAAAGATGAGCGGGGTGTGCCAGGCAGAGGTGCGGGGTGGGGTGCTCCAAGCAGCAGCATGTGCAAAGGCATGGAGATGTGACAGAGACAGACAGATTTAGAGAACTGTAAGTAGTCCCAGTGGTGCAATGATTAAGTGCCTAGCTGCTAACCGAAAGGTTGATCGTTCAAACCCACTCAGTGGCTCTTTGGGAGAAAGACTTGGCGATCTGCTCCCATAAAGATTCCAAACCCAAACCAATCCACTGCCTTTTAGTCGATTCTCGTTCATATCGACCGTACAGCCTAGGAAATCCTATGGGGCGGTTCTACTCTCACATGGGGTCACTATGAGTTGAAAATTGACTTGATGGCACCTAAGTACAAGTAGTTTTTGTGGCTGGAGCATCCAGTACCAGGTGAAGGGCGGCAGGTCTGAAGGTGGCCATGCATGGGGATTTACATTTTGTCCCACGGGCCCTACGGAACCATGGAAGGATTTCAAGACAAAGAGGAGCATGAACAGATGTGAAGTCCAGATCACTGGCAGAAGGTGGAAGATAGAGCAGAGCAGGTAGACCAGATGCAGGGACATGGGACAGGAGCTCCTGACACTGACCAGGCAGGGCATGGTGAAGGCTGGATTAGGCAGGGACAAGGACACAGAGGTGTGGGACAGAGATGTATTAATGAGGGGAACAGGCAGGGCTTTGTGACTAACTGGATGGTGGGGATGGGACAGTAAGGGAGAAGGAGAGGGATGCCCCCTTGGTTGACTCCCAGGTGTCTGCCTGTGGATGGTTCACGGTGATAGGGACACCGAAGAAGCTGGTTTTGCAGGAAGATTTCAGGTTGGGATATGTTGAGTTTGTTCTGCCTAAGGGTGGCCATGCCCAGGAAGGAATGGAATATTCTAGTCTGACAGAGACGAGAGGTTCGGGCCAGGGCAGGACTTTGGGGGTCCTTGTGGTACAGGTGGATGCTGAGGCTGGGGAAGCAAGGAGCTGGACCAGGTGAGGTGTAAGGTGAGGACAGAGCAGAGGGAAAGGCGGCTGTGGAGACCAAGGGAGGCCAAGGCTGAAGGTGGGGCAGGGTACAGCAGAGAGGACCCTGTGAGGCTCAGAGAGATGAAGCGACACATCCTAGAACACACAGCTGGGAAGTGGCAGAGGCTACATGTGACCCAAATCTGTCTGACCCCTGACCAGTGCTCATATCCTTCCTCCAGAGTGTCCAGTTGTTCCTGCAGCTGCGCTGAATGTGACCGGGGCATCTATCCTCCACCCAAGACAGACCATGGGCCTGTCACCCTGAGGCCGCCAAGTGGGAGGAGGTAGGCGCCAGCCTGGGCTTCTGAGTCAGACACACGGCCCTGGAATCCCTGCTTGGCCACTTACCAGCATGACCTTTCTGAGCCTCAACTTCCCTAGCAGGAGAATGGGACCTATGACAGTGCATTGTTTTAAGGATTCAGAGAGCTGGGTATAAAATTCTCGGCCCAGTGCTTGGCGGTGGCAGCACTGAGAAGGGGGTGGCCCGGGCAAGGCATCCCTCGCCCCACTCACCTAGGATGGCCACGACCACGTCGTCGCGCAAGATCTCGATGGAGCCGCGGGAGATGAAGTAGAGCGTGGAGAGCACGTCGCCCAGGTGCACCAGCGTGTCCCCGGGCGGCGCGTGCGTCGTCTTGAACTTGATGGCAAGCGCGCGCAGGCAGCCCTTGCTAGCGCCGTGGAAGGCCGGGCAGTGCTGTAGCAGAGCGCGGTGCAGGTGCAGGCAGATGTCGGCCTGCAGGCACTCAGGGAAGCCCTTCAGCACCTGCGAGGCGGGCGGGCTGGTCCAGCGGGCGCCGCTGGGGCGGGGGAGCAAGGCGGGGGGAGCTCGGGGGCGTCCTGCACCCGCGGGACCGTGACCTCTCCGGGGACTGGAGCTGGGTCGCCCGCCCCTCCCTGGCAGAGCGCGGGACTCACCGCGTTCATGTCGATGCCGTTGGTGTAGGACCAGGCGTGCTGGAAGTACTCTTCGAGGCGTTGCCGCAGCGGGTTGGGGATCTGGTGGAAGCGGATGAACTCCTTGACGCGCAGCATCTGCGTGTGGTAGCGCGCGGTGCCTGAGTACAGGCGCTGGATGATGGCCGACACGTTGCCGAAGATGCTGGCGTACATGAGGGCTGGGGGCGGGAGAGGGAGGGGAGTGAGCTCTAGCCGCGTTCTCCCGGGTTTCCACCAGGCCACGTCACCCCAGGGCCCATTCCAGGCCCCTCTCCCTGGGAGGGGGCAGCCCCCTGGTCAGGGACCCCTCTGTTCCGGAGGTCAGAGGTGGCCCAGGACAGCACCAGGCACATGGGGGACAAAGTCCCCTGGGGCTTCCTGCCCTCCTCCCTCTGCCCCCCATTTCTAGAATGGCACCTTCCTGGGCCCAGAAGCCAAACTCCTGAGAAGAAAGTAACTAGGGCAATGAATTATTTTCGTTCAGATTTGTTTTCTTCTTCAAGTTGTAAAAGCACAATAAAGGCACAACTCTTGGTCTCCTGTTTTCACCAATTTTTTCTGTGCTGATTTTGTTCTTCTGGGCTTTCACATCTCTAAATACTCTGAACATAACAACTCAGCCTACAACTTAGTCTATGTGTAAAATTCCACACTGCCTTGTGTGTTTTTAAACCAGGTGTCTTGGGAGGCAGGCAGCTGAGTGCAGGGGCTGCTGAGAATACAGCCAGCCCCTGGAGCCAGCCACCTGGGTTGGAAGTGGAACTCTAAGAACTCCTGGGTGTGTAACCTCTGTTGAGTTAGGACGTTGGTTCCTTGATCTGTAAACTGGGGCTCATAATATGGCCTTCATGCGGTTGTGATGGGAATAAAATGTAGGCCTTTATAAAGTGCTTAGCAGAGCACCTAGCAGGGCTGGCTTCATGGGCCTGTGACCTGTGTAGTCACAGAGGGCCCCTCACTCAGAAGAGCCCTGCGCTTGGTTGAATGCTCTGCTGTCAATGTCTTGAACATTTTAATAATTTTTTAACAAGGGCCCTGCATTTTCATTTTACACTGTTGTTGTCCCATGCCGTCGAGTCGATTCCAACTCTTTTGCACTGGGCCCCACAAATTATGTGCCAGTCTCGGTACCTGGCATATAGCAAGGGCTGTATGCACGTTACATTCCATCGCTAATGGGTGTATCCATATGCACACAGTCATTGTGTACCACATGCACTGTTCCTGTAGGTTATGTTATATCCTTTACCACTGTACCAGTTGCTGTCAAGTCAACACCAACTCATGGTGACCCAGTGTGTGTCAGAGTAGAACTGTGCCCCATAGGGTTTCCAAGGGCTGATTTTTCAGAATTAGATTGCCAAGCCTTTCTTCTGAGGTGACTCTGGGTGGACATGAACCTCCAACCTTTCGGTTAGCAGCCAAACGTGTTGACCATTTACACATACTCCTAAATCCCATTACAACACTAAAAAGAAAATTCCACAGGTAAGACCCATGGCATGCATGGCATGAGGTGGCACTCACAGCCAATAAGCATGACGCAGATGGAGAAGACCTTCTCAGAATTGGTGTTGGGCGAGACATTGCCGAAGCCCACGCTGGTGAGGCTGCTAAAGGTGAAGTAGAGGGCCGTGACATACTTGTCCTGGACCGAGGGGCCCGAGGCCGGGTCACTGCCATTGTAGTGCTTGCCGAGCTGTGCGCCCAGGCTGTCCAGCCAGCCGATGTTGGGCTTCAGGTAGGGCCGCTCCACATTGCCGATGGCATACCAGATACAGGCCAGCCAGTGAGCAATAAGTGCAAAGGTGCACATGAGCAGGAAGAGCACAGCCGCCCCGTACTCCGAGTAGCGGTCCAGCTTCCGCGCCACGCGCACCAGCCGCAGCAGCCGCGCTGTCTTCAGCAGTCCGATCAGGGTTGTGGTCTGAAGGAACAGGGAGGGGCTGGGGGTGTGCTCAGGCCTGTGTTTATTCACTTGTGCATACAGTCACACAGTCATTCAATAAACACGGGTGGAGACCCTGCTCTGGGCCAGGCACTTGGCAGTGGGGCCCAGTGCGGGACCTTAAGGAGTTCTCAGCCTAAAGCTCAAAAAAGGGCTCTGGTTGCTAGGACAGAAGTCCAGTGGGAGTGTGGTGGAAGAGGGGTCATGTCTGCAGGGGCAGGCCAGAGGAGGCTTCAGAGAGGAGGGCATGGCTCTCTGCAGGCAGACAGGAGGGAGAGGGAGCAGCAGGAGCAAAGGTGTGGAGGTGTTAGAAGCCAAGTGGTTTGCTGCAGCCTGGGGCACAGAGTGGAAGATGGGGAAGCAGTGAGACATGAGCCTGGGAAGGCGGGCAGAGGCTGCTCCTGTGGGCCTCTGGGTCCAGAAAAGACTGGGGAGCCATTGAAGGTTCTGTGGCAGGGGGGACTGACAGGGTCAGATAAGTGATTTGAATCTGAAACTCCCTCTGGCTGCTGTGGGGGTTGGGGGAGCAAGGCTGGGGGTGTGGGGTCAGGGCAGGAGGTGGTAAGAAGGCCACTCAGTGTCCAGGCAGGGGCAGTGGGGTGGAGAGGAAGGGAGAAGACATGTGGGTGGGATTTGCTGGGGGTGGGGCGGGTTGAGCAGCAGAGATGGGGTTGGGGGGCGGTGGTCCACTGGGACACAGAGAGCAGAGCTGACTTGAATGGAAAACTGATCCTGAGGAGATGGGGCAGGAGGACATGGGACTGGAAACTATGAGAAGAGCACGATAATGCCCTTACATTAGTTACGGCAAGTGGAATGGGCACAGCGGAGGGGCTGGGGGCAGAGGAAGGGCCAGGCTGCATTGGGTGAGTGCGGATTAGAAGTCAGCATCGGGGGCTGGGACTGCCGGAGTGCCTATCCCAGGAGGGGCAGAGATCTGAGGCAGAGAGCGGCCTACAGGGAGCCTGCACCTCTCACCAGGGCCTGCTCTGAGAGATGAACAGAGGGACGGCACCCAGGCCTGAAGGCACAGCCTCGCCTGGCCTTTCTCCAGGGCCGGGACACGACAGACGTGGTGGCCTGAGGCTCCCCTTCCAACTCCACTTGCTTTGGCAAAGGTGCTCAGTGCCAGTTACTCTCTGCACCTGGGGGGCCTCGGAGCTCAGGACCAGGGGATGGTCACAGCAGCTCACCTCATCGGAGCCAGTGCGGAAGATGAGCAGGTCGAAAGGGATGGCAGCCACCATGTCAATGAGGAACCAGCCCTTGAAGTAGTGGACGGCGATGCAGCGCGGGTGGCTGACCACCTCGTCATTGGTGTTGACATAGGTGGTGCGGAAGTTGATGACGATGTCCACGACAAACATGATGTCCACGATGAGGTCCACCACTGTGAGCAGACTGCAGGTGTAGCTGCAGTCCCCGCGCCGGGACTCATCCTGATCACTGAGCAGGAAGGAGGCTGAGTAGGGCGTGAAGACAGCCGTGTAGATGACCAGCAGCAGGATGAGCCAGTCCCACACAGCCTTGAAGGGGCTGTAGTGCAGGATGGTCCCGCGGTGGATGCGTGGCGCCTGCAGCTTGTACTCCGGAAGCACATCCGCGCCCAGGGACAGGACCTGGGGGTGGGGGCCATAGGCAGTCAGTGGGGGCAGCCACCGCTGGGAAGGGTGAGGAGGTAAGGGCGAGGTAGAGGAAGGGGGCAGTAGGAGAGGGTGGAAGACAACGGCTGTGAAGGGCGGAGGGGATGAAGTAAAGATGGGCGGTCTGAGGAGGCAAGTTCATAACGCAACAGGTGTGTAGGGAAGAAGGGAAGAGAGAGGAGGTGGGAGACAGGAGGAGGGGCACAGCTCTGTCCCATAGGGACCCCAGGTTGAAGCTCAAAGCTCCCTCAGGAACAGGCCAGTGTGGAGACAGGGTGGGGTGGGGAGTGGGGAGGGCAAGGGAGAGCCAGGCCCAGGGCCAGCTGTGAGCATGTTCCAGAGAAGAGCCTAGATTGAAATTGAGGGAGTGGCTGATTTGGGCCTAGCCTCTCTGGAGGGCTTGGAAGCTTCCCTGTGGTCAGTGTTCCTGATGGGCACAGGTCATACCCAGAATAGCCTCTTCATTCCTAAAGGTCCTGAGGAGCCTGGACCAGTGAGGGCCCTCCCTGGGGCAACTCCCAGAGCCTTTTATGGAAAGAGGCAAATCTGAGGGCATATAGCCAGTCTGGACCTTTGATGGGTCCTGGGTGCAAGGGAGACCCGACTACTTCACATATGTCCAAGAGAGGTTTGGATCATAACATTCAGCTGAGTCCCCTCCCCTCCAGCCCCCACCTCAGAGACTGTGACCAAGATAGGATCCCCAGAGCCAGCCCAACATGCCCAGGCTCTGCCCAGCTTCCCAAGGCAGGAAACAGCCAGGGCATTAGGAAAGGCATGGGGTTTGAATATCATTTCTGCCATTTGCTGTATGTGTGCCTTTGGGCAAGTTGTAACCTCTATGTGCCTCAGTTCCCTCTTCTACAAAATGGGATAGAAAATTCATTGTGTTATTGTGATTAAATGAGATGACGAATCTAGGTAGCCCAGGGCCAGTCTCTATGATAATTCCTCTTTCCACTCTCCCGCTTCCTCATCTTGCATCAGACATTGCCCCAACAAGGCTGGGGTCTGAGGGGCATCCCACTGACCACACTCCTATCAGGATGGGGCCCAACGGGCAGTCCTGGTTTAAACAAATCTGCAGTGTAAGGCTCTGATCTTGCAAACCAGATCAATTCGTAGATAGGGTCACAACCAGGAAGACCTACTAAAGGATTGTTTTCAACCAGGAGGTCCATAGTCTGACATTCCAACCCCAGGCAGAGGCCACAGTTGTCCTTTCTCTGTGGTGATGTCCTACTCAGCCTTCAGGCCTGGGACCAAAGACTTGGTGCCTCTTTTCAGGTTTTCTCCCTGCCCTTGACCACACAGTTATTGTCACCGCATGGGAATCGATGCAGATTTGGGCTCTCCACTGGCCTCTAGGGGCCAGATCAGCAGGTTCCCTCTGTTAGCCGAGGCCCCAGAGGAGCCCGGGCCCAGAGCCTGGGAGGGGACAAACCCTTGAGGCCTGGCACAGCCCCACCCACCCTGCCCTGCAGCCTGCACCTGGGTGACCTTCTCGGTGACATTCTGGGTCCTCTCCACCACTTTGTGGGGTGCGATGATCTCGATCTCGGTGGTGGAGCCTGAGCGGTGTTTTTCCAGGTTGAACTCCACGAAGTTGAGTGTGAACTGCGGGATCTGGCTGATGGTCCTGTACTTGACTGTGCCTGTGCCAGGCCCCTGTCCACCCGGCCTGCCGTGAGAGCCTTCTGGAACCAGGGCTAGGGTCAGAGCAGCCAGGGCCAGAGAACCAAATGCTCTGCCTGGTGCCCCCCACTGGCCCGCACCCCCGCCACCTGTACCCCGCCTCACCAGAGCCAAGGAAGCTCTGGGACAGCAGGCGCTGGGGCAGGCTGCGGCTCCCGCTCTTGGCCAGGAGCTGGGCCAGGTCCTCAAAGTTGAGGATGAACATGATGACAGCCCCGTCCTCGTTCTTCACGGGTACCACGTCCACCAGGCAGCGGAAGCTGGAGGCTGCAAACGTATCGGGGGTGGGGGTGGGGGTTGTCAATGAAAGGGTCCCCTCCTGCAGTGGTCTGGCCAGGGGCAGCCAGGGAGGGGGCTGGGGTAAGGTCAGGTGAAGGGCAGCCACGGGGGTGAGGAGGCCTGGGCAGTGACCAAGGGTGTTGGCAGAGTTGTATGAGGCTGCCCAGTAGGCGCCCCACCCACAGGGCAGAGGTGGAAGAGAACTAAGCTGCTCATTAGGAGATAATGTAGCATCAGGTCCAAGTCCACGATCGCTCAGGGCTTAGCCTCGGGGTTTGCTTCTGCTATAATTGAAGCTGAGCAGATGGGGTGGATTAAGGGGGAGGGGGGTGAAGGCAGGCATTCTCCCCCCATAGCTCAGGCAAGCCCTGCGCTCAGCCCCCAGGTTCCTACCCTGCAAGGTGCCCTGCACGCCTGACACTGGAGGGACCTCATGGAGAATACACGAAGAGCTGGGCACCAAGCCAGTTTGCACATTAGGGTCTTGGGAGACCCTGGGAGGCAGGCAGAGACCCCCGTTCAGCACAGAGGGCCTGGGGCTCTGAGGAACTAACTTGCTGAGCTGGGAGCAGACAGAGCCTAGGCCGAAGGGGGAACCCTGGGCTCTCACACATAATGACTTGGAGCGGCAAGGGACAGGTCTGGGAGCTGAGGGTGCTGCGGTGAGGGCCAGGCTGCTGCTTGGGCCCTGGGAGGAGCCCGGGGTCCAAGGCAGAGGCTGTAGGACTGGGTGCGGGGATCAGGATGGGCAGGGCAGTGGCCTGGGGGCTGGAGAGGGAGGAAGGAGGCTGCTAGGGGGCAGGGCAGGTGGTCCTGCAGTCCCTCTCACCGCTCTCCCTGCCCTCCTGGGTGGCCCAGCCCCAGCTGCAGCCCATCCCACCCCCACCCCCCCACGCCTCTGGGGCCATAGCCTCTGCCCTCTCTGTCTCTGTCCCAGGGTCCCACCCCCTTATAAGCTAAAATGCAACATACCCTCAGAGCCCAGCCTGTGAGAGCCCAGGTCCCTGCCCAGGGCTGGGTGGGTGGGCACCCCATGAGCCCCTTCTCCATGGTATGGGGGCCCCATGCCTCCCATCTCAAGCCCCAGTGGGGGTCAAGCCAAAAAGGCAAGAGCCAAGGGAGCAGGGGCCTCAGATGAGCATGCAAATCAGACAGCAGAGCCCTCAGGGCAGGTTTGGGTCTGCCTCTTGGCGGTGTCCCAGCACCTGTCCCAGGTGTGTTTGTTGATTAACTGAATGAAAGAAGGCTGTGTAAATGTGAGCAGAGGCATGTAATACTCCGGCAGGGGGAGAATTGCTACTTTGGGGACCACTAGACTCACTTTCTCCTAGACTCCCCATTTAGTGCTCTCAGCCCCTCACAGCCATCAGGGCCGGGGTGCAGCTAAGC